GGAGACTACAGTATATGCTTATGTGCTAATGGCACTGACAGCTCGGTTATCAAACTGATGTTAATAAAAAAAAGTTTTCGAGAAGAAGAAATATGCCTATGTAGCACATGATAGCCACGAATTTACATGCCAGGTTTAAGTAAAACAAAAGAACACTTTTAAACGCTTAAAAGTGAAGTTTCAAGTTAAGAGACAAACCCTTAACTAAACTACATTAGCACATGCCACTACAGTAAAATTCTTTTAACAAAATTTTTACATGCATCTCAAAGCTTCTGCAGACATTTTTATGAAAAGACCATGCTTTATTTACTGTACCTGAACATTTCTGTACCTGTCACGCTGCATGTTAATGGAAAAATAAGACAGGGAATATTAGGTTATTTTCACATGTCCTTTCTAAAGGCATAATTCCTATTTATTTTTACACATGATGTTACATGCGGCTTTACTTTAGCAGAACTATCGAAAGCACTTCAGCCTATCTTAAGATGACAACTTTGCCAAGTCAAATAAAAACGTTTCACTGTTCTGGAAGAAAAGATTAAACAATTGAAGAGTAACGTCTCTCCTCTTTCCCATGCATTTTCTCAGAACCTCCCAAAACACTGGTACTGATAAAGGGGTTTGAGGGAAGTAGGCTTGTTTTTACTAATACTCCTCATCTTTGATCAAGTTGACAGAAATGAGTTACATGCTGTTAACAATGCTCTGGGAAGACAATTCCATATGCTGTCTGTAGCTGCCAGTGAGAATAATTTCCATTTCTAGCATCTCCCTTATAACGCTATGAAAGCAGACAGCTCCACACAGCAAGCACTCCAAAAAAATTCAGCTCAGGTTTTCTGTTTTAATTAAAGCTGAAAAAGCCTGGCAGACAAGCTACAGTGAGGCTGCCACAGCATTACACACAGCCGAGGCTACGGCAGCTTACCCAGCCTAGGTAGTTGAACTTTGACTGTTTCCAGGTGCCACTGACATCACTGAGAGCCAGTCATATCTAAGAAATAGCAAAGCCTGGCCTCTTGACTTTAAATGAAGTGTGAAGGCTTGAATGAAATACTGCCCATGTTAATGAAATAAACTACTTACACTAGCACACAGAAAGTACTTACACCGTTTCTGGGAAACCGCCTGCAAACAAGCTGTAACAATGTCGCAGTTCTTCTGGACTTTTTGTACAAGCCTGTCTTTCTGCTTCAGAAGACGAAGCAACTTTGCTGATTGAATAGAAATTCTGTAATTCAGTTCTTGTTTTATAGTTGTTAATTCATCAACATCTGCCAACAAACAGAGAAAACAACTTCAGTACAGGCCAAAACACACACAAACAGCCCATTGTCGTTGATGTACAAAGAGACTTGCCCCGTGGACATGTACATGTACAAGCTTTCTATAAATTACAAGTTCTATTGACTGGGGTAATTCCCAACTATAAATATTTTCAGGATCTGAGCCAAAGTCTTTAATTTTCTTTTAAACTAAAGTACTTCCGTTTATTGCACAGTGTATGAATCTTATTAATTATGCTATTATAAATTCATAGGATTGTGACAGATGTAGCCAGAATATCCAATAATGGTGCAACCAGGGAGTAAATTTTAAATACAGTATCTTCAAGAAGCTGCCTGTGTGTGGGGAATATGTGCATTCGTAACAGAGGAACACCTTCAAGAAGCTGCCGGCAAAGCCACAAATCCAAGTCCAGAATGAGTGCTAAGTGGGAATCTCCACTAAGACGCAGCTGGACAGCTTCATTCAAGGCCTCAGCTGTTTCCACTGGTCAGTCACACTGTCCCTAGACCCCCCTCAGTTCACCAAAATGTCTCAGCTTACTTTTGATATTCCTGTTGCCCCCCATGTGATATGTTTCAGGTCCAGAAGAGGGAGCTGTTGGGGAGATATCTTAAATCCATTAATTTTTCTGACTCCTCTGCTCTGTTCTCAGAGGCTCAGCCCAGCAGTGAAATCCTGGATCTTGCCTATCACATGCTGACCTCTTCAGCTCTTCCCTATAATAGCCTGGCACAGCTTGTCACCAGCATCTACACAGCTGTCTGCTCCCTGCAGCTAAATTTTCAAATCCTATCACTTTCAATGCAACCATGGCCCCTGATGCTGGAAGGAAAATCAATGCAAGAAATCCATACTTCGGTAACCTGATCTAATGAGAAAAATATTTATGCACCCAGAAAAAGCTGCTATTAGTGGGATGATAAACAACTCAGCTCACGTGGCAAAACTTTTTCAGTAATTCTGGAAAGCTTAAAGAAAAGGACAAATTGGGCTGAAACGACCATCAGCCATGGGCTAGTGCAGAGCAAGGCATGACTGCAAGGGGAGCGGAACCAGTGGTAAACCAGTCCTGTATTTTATGGACACTATCCTGTTTCAGCACCTTCTAATCAGCTGAAACTCCCAATCACTGGTACCAGGCAAGGGGATTTAATAATAAATCCATGGATTCTGAGAGCAAAACCATTAATTTGCACTCCTATTGACTTGTACAGTCACCATACAAGCAGAGAACTGAGTTTTCTTCTTTCTCACTCATGCCAGTTAGTTGTCCCTGTAAGAACAATTAACTTTGCAGCAAAAGTAATGAGCTGAAATACTACAAAATATATTCCTCAACAAGCAGGGTTTTTTTGAGTCTCAAGTTGCTATAGGACACAGAGAACAACTTGAGCTACATCCTAGTAACATCAGATTGTGTCTCATCTCATTAAGAAGCCAAACACGGAAGCAGACAGCTGTTCGCACAGGTCTGAAAAACAGGCACTTTTATTCACTTTTTTTTTTTTTTCCTCCTCCTCAAAAGCAGGAATGATTAAACATCAGGAGACAAGAGGCCTTTGTGCAGCGCTCTTCATCTGATCAACTTGGAAGTTGCAAGTCTTATTCCTTCACAAACATGCCCTGTTGAGGTTCCTTAGCTTTCAGGTTTCTTTGAAAATTTCATTTAGATTTTGATTAATTGACTATAGCACTTACACTTTTTATTACACTTCTTTCTTTTCTGGAAGACATGCCAACCTGCAAATAAGCCTTACAATTGTCCTGTTTAGTTTACGTCCACTAGAACTAAAAAGACCTTAAAAAACAACTACTTCCTATGGCACCTTATGCGTAGCATGTCTTCTAGATTAAGAGAGAAAAAAAAAGGGAAAGAAAGAAAACTGGTCACTGATTCATTACTGTGAGGAAAAGCACTGAGCTCGCAGAAACACAAAAGCTTGTGCAATCTGTCACAGAAATTAATAGCAGGTGACCCCATTTTTGCTCCTACAGCACCTGGAACAAAGGAGGAAGGAACAGCACCGGAGGCCCTGATCTGAAGGAGCTCTCAGCTAACAGCGCACGGAAGGCTTCTGGGAGCCATGGCCATGCAGAAAGGCTGCTACAGCGAGCGGAGGGCACGCTTGAGCAGGACTCCCGAGCAGGCAATAAGGGAAAGCGAGGCGGCAGGGGCAGCTCCCAGCCCCGGCAGCGCAGGGCAGGGCAGGCGGGGCGGGCTGTACCTTTCAGCCGCAGGTACTTGACCTGGCTCGGCCGCTGCTGCAGCTCACGGAGGGCGCGGGAGCGGGCGCTGCCGGCGGGGGCGGCCGCCTCGGCGGCGCTGTACAGCTCGGTGAGCAGCCCGCTCACCAGCGACGAGGTGCGGCTTGACCGCCCGCTGCCGGGACCCCCCTCGTCGTCGTCCTCCTCCTCCTCCTCGGCCAGGCTGTCGGCACTGCTCCCCGCCCTGCCACCCACGCCGGCCTCCCCCGCATCCATTTTTCACGCCGCCGCCGGGTTCCGGGCCGGGCCCGTTCCACAGCGACACGCCGGAGTGGGGCGGGCAAGGGAAGGGGAAGCGGGCAGGAAAGCCCAGGCGGGCGGGGCGCTCCCCCGCCGACAGGAGCGCCGCACCCAGCTCCGCTCCCTCCCCGCGCTCGGCGGGCACAGGCCGGCGGAGAGGAGGGCGCTGCACCTGCGGAGGGGCGGGGGAGCAGCGACCTCGCCCCGCCTCGGGGCGGTGACACTGGGCACGGTACCCGGGCACCACTGTCCTGCCTGCCGTCCTGCTCTGCTCCCAGCTGGAGCGGCGGCCTGGTTCTGCGGCAGTTCAGCACCTGGGCTGCGGCCGGTCCCCGTAGCACAGCCCGCTGCCCAGAGCGCATGGCGGGATCCGCACGGCTCCGCCTGGGCTCGCTGGGCACCGATGGCGCTGCAGGCGGATCGGCCACACGCGGGGCAGCCGCGGTAATTCAGGTCAGGAATGCACAGAATCACAGAATGGGTCAGGTTGGAAGGGACCACAGTGGGTCAAATGGTCCAACTTCCCTGCACAATCAGGGCACACTGCACGGGAGCGCGCCTAGGCGGTTTTGGAGTATCTCCAGTGAGGGAGACTCCGCAAACTCTCTGAGCAACCTGTTCCAGTGCACGCACAGTAAAGAAGCTCTTCCTCGTATTCAAGTGACACTTCCTGTGCATCAGTTTCTGCCCATTGCTTCTTATCCTATTGCTTGGCAGCACCGAGAGGAGCCTGGCTCCATCCCCCGGCACCCGCTCTATAGACACTGACACACACCCCGGCCATGGAGCTCGAGGGTCCCAGCTGGAAAAGGCCGCTCCGCGCGCAGTCCGGGGCGGGGCCGGGCCTGGCGGGGCGGGGCCGGGGCTGTCGCCCGGGCCACGTGACGTCCCCCCCGCGCTCCCGGGTCATATGCCGCGGGCGGGGCGGGCTCGCGCGCTGCTGCTCCGGGTCCGGCGGCGGCACCACCGAGCGGCACCGAGACCCCTGCCCGTCCTGTCCTGTCCTGGCCCTCCGCCCGCCCGTCCCGCCGCTATGGCCCCCGCCGTGCTGCTCCGGGGGCTGGCGCTGGCCGCGCTGCTGGTGCTGAGCCCGGCGCGGGCAGCCCGGCAGGCGCGGAGGCCCAACGTGGTGCTCATCCTCACCGACGACCAGGATGTCTGCCTGGGCGGCATGGTAACCCAGCCGCGGGGGGCGCGGGGCCGGCGGCAGCGCGGCGAGACAGAGCGGGACTGGCAGCCGGGGCACATACGGGGCTGTCGGGCAGCGGGAGCGGGCTCGGGGCTGGGCAGGGCAGGGCGCGGGGCCGGGGTCGCTCCGGCCGCGAGGGGCGGCGGGCTGGGCCGGGCCGGGCCCAACACTGGGCAGGGGCTCCCACGGCCTCGGGCTGAGCTACCCCGCCGAAGGAGCGACACGGTCGGGCTTCCGCGGCTGGGATGAGCTGCTATGCAGAGCCATTGGGGCTCGATTGGGCCGGGGGGACATGGAGCGTCTCCCATGCAGCCGCTGTGGGTACCCCTGGAAACTCCCCGCACCTCTGCTCCCTTGGGCCCACCTTGCGCAACCGCTGTGGCCGCTCCAGGCCCCGGCAAGAAGGGAAGGACACTGAGTGTCTTGCCTGCGTGATGCCTAAAATCTGTAGTTGTGGGACCTCTTTCACGTAGCCTGCTTTAAGTCCCCTGCTTTACTTGGCATCCTTGCCTTTTTAGCTGACACCCTTTGGGTATTTTTCTTCCAGACCCCCCTGAAGAAGACGAATGCTCTCATTGCACAGATGGGAATAACTTTCCTAAATGCAGTAAGTGTTCGCATTAACTCTCTGAGCTTCTGAGGTTGCATGCATTTGTGTACTCTCTATCTCGGGTCATCTGAGGTCTCAAAGCTGGTAATAGTTTTATGAAGCCTGTACCTATGGTTGTAGGGTTTTTTTAAATTCAATCTCTAACTACTTTTAGGTCTCTGAATGAATATAACTTAAGGTCATGTTAAAATCTGTGAAGGAAAGTTTCACTTCCTGAAAACACTTGTGCTAGCTTCCTTTAACTGTAAAGTAAAGCTGCGCAGTCTGAATATTTTTATTACAAACTGAGAAGCATTAAAAGTAGCTACTTGAAACTTTGATCAGCTTTATGTACAACGAAAGTCCATTTCACTCTTTTCGTATATTAGTGTGTCTCTGTGGCTATAATAGTGGAACGAGTCAATGGGCAATTGCTCCTGTGTAAGAACCATGTCTAATCTTGCATTGAGGGTTGAAGGACACGTGCTGCAGAGACCTGAAACTGGTTTCATGTGTAGTTTTTCATTAGTGAAAATACTTGGAACGTAATTCTCTCTGTCCAGAAGGAAGTAGGTTTTAATGTTGATGAACATCTTAATCAACCTGTTAGCTGATACTTAAAAACTATAAATTTTGAGATTTTGTTTTGCTATGCCAATCTTATCTCTCTTCATTCTGTTTTTCCAGTATGTTCCCAGTGCACTTTGCTGTCCCAGTCGAGCTAGCATTTTAACAGGAAAATATCCACATAATCATCATGTCGTCAATAACACCCTGGAAGGGAACTGCAGCAGCAAGTTATGGCAGAAGATTCAAGAACCATACACCTTCCCAGCGCTGCTCAAATCTATGTGTGGTTATCAAACTTTTTTTGCTGGAAAATATTTAAATGAGGTATTTCGTGCCTTTTTTTTTTTTTTTTTTAGTGTTACAGTTTATTTACACTTGTCTATCTTTCTAAAACATTCTGTGATTTTTCCATTTGGTGGGTCCACAAAGAGTATAATATGATGTTACTTGGATGAATGCTTCTCTTTGCTCAGAGGGGATAAATATGATGTAGAGTTCAGATCTCTAATGTGATTAAATTCAGTTTCTGTAGGTATCAGAATGTTTTTAAAGTTAATTTTGAAATGGACTGATGGAATTGATTTTTTATGGAATCCAAAAGCTTTTTTTTGGTATATTTAAATGTGTTAATTTTTAGAGATGATGATTTTAATTACTGGAAGAAATGGATAGATGATTGGCATGTGGTACTGAAGAACCCATCAAACCAATGCCAGACCATGATGTTAGAATAACATTAAAAAAAATTTATTTGATTCGGTATTCCTGACTGACATATCCTCTTGCATCTGAGGACTATTTTCTTTTTAGCAGTCAATATGATATTTTAAAAATTAAGTGTCTACTGAGGTAAATTCATTGGGAGGACAGATATTTTCAGAGCTCTTGACAGCAGTTACCCAACGATTTATCATTAAATCGCTTTTATATGTGTGCTTTTGTTTTTTTCTCCTTTTAGCTAGATCATGGTTTCTCATAGTTTATGGTAAGATGTAAAATTCAGCACTGAAAGCTCTAAGATTAGGTATTCCTCTTCTGTGATGGAATTGGATTTGGAGCTAGATGAGTTACAGGGTTCTTAACAGCATTATTTGCCTTGCATCTCTTGGTGGTATAATAGAATAATGGAACTTCAGTTTTGGTAGCAATGCATGAATTTATTTCTGCTGATGTTCTTGAGGCAGCAAGGGGAAGGGAAACTTAACTGTCTTCCTCTGAGAATCCCTTGACTCAGCAGGGTCTCCCATCCTTGCAGTTAGGCGAGCCATGAAGATGGGAGAGGGCAGCCCTGAGAAAACCCATTGTGTTGCTCTGAGGCACCCTCTGTTTTGAGTTTGGCACTGACCCTGCAGCTACTCTCCCTTTTTTGCCATCTTAAAGCGTAGTTGTAGATTATTTGGCACTGAGGTGATTAAGAGACTACCATTGCTTCAAGTTCTTACCCCTTTTTGTGGAGAATGAAGGAAACTGTTGGTCTACACGAAATTTTCTCTAGTATCTTGTGAACTACTGTCACAAAGCCTAAGATTGTCATGTGGATCTTTTGATCACTTCTCATTACCTGATGGTGTACCGTATGTTCTCCAGGATTTCTGCGCCTTTTCCCAAGAAAACAGAGCAGGGAATAACACTTAAATTTTATTGTGATTACCAAGCTTTCAGTTACTGTCTTTCTAGTTACTGAACCCTGGTTTCTTTAACGGGTCCTACATGTGTTTTTATACGTGTATATATTTGGGTTTCCCCATTCTGAAATTGAGTTTGTCCTAACATGGTTTCTGACTAGTGTTGAATAAAGCACGTGAACATGAAACATAATTTCTAGCTTTTATTTGTCATAATTGAAACTGTGAGTCATGGTCTCTCTTTTTGCAGTACGGGGCAGAGGATGCAGGGGGAGTAGGTCATGTCCCTCCTGGATGGAGTTTCTGGTATGCTTTGGTATGTGGTTTTTTTTCTTTTGTTTAAATACTTAATTTTGCATGTAATCCCATTTTGGTTTTGTAATCCTAGTTGAATTCTAACTTTGCCGATCGTGAAAGAGCAGGCAAAGAACATCTGACAATGCAAATTTTCTTCCCTTTTTTCCTCTGTTGCACATCAGATCCTTGGCTTTCACAAAGGCTACTCCTACTGAGTGCCCGGATAAAAAGCCTGGTTTGTAAAGCCAAAGCAGTGTGAGATAGCACTAAAATAAGTTTTGCTGTTGGCAACTTCTGAGAATTCTTGCAGTATCCTTATGGCAAATGCTCATAACCTATTTGACAAATGTTTGTGGGCAGCTCACTTCAATTACTTCAAGTAATCAATGTACATGTTATTTTGTGTAAGGATCTGAGTAACTTTTTTTTTCCACAGGAGAAAAATTCAAAGTACTACAACTATACTCTTTCAGTAAATGGCAAAGCACGAAGGCATGGTGAGAACTACAGTGTAGATTATCTGACAGATGTCCTGGTAAGAAATTTTGCAACGTTTGGTACAGAAGCTGCTTATGAGCAGATAATGCCTCATGCTGAGGGCTTGGAGAAGGGTGGGATGATAATTTATTAAGCTGTATGACTTCATACATGCACAGCTGTGCTGTCATGATGGTGGGTGGGCATTGATTAGCAGAGCAAGATTCTGAGTATATTTAGAGGTGACGTGTTTGTGTTTGAGCTCTGGAGAGGAAAGGGATTCCAGC